GGCCTTTTCCTGCTTCACTTTCTCCTTGGCCTGTTCCTGCGCAATCTTTGCCCGTCTCTACTCGGCGTCCAAGGCAAGTCCAAACCAAAAGATAAATCGCATTTGATTCATTGAAATCCACACACACACACGAACACCGCCAAGCTTGCCTTTGAGATGTTGCTTCTCAGGCACTGATGGAAAGAGGGGGGCGAACCAAGGGAGTCACCGCCCGTGGCGTTGGCAGGGCAAGGCGTTGCCTAGTGGAACTGCTTCTGCGAAGGCCAAAACGGCTTCTAAGAAGGGTTCAGGGGTTACCCATTCCAAACCCTGACTACCTGAATGTGTGCTACATTCAGAGCAACACCTTGAAATGGTCTTGGAAAAGATGGGCCAAGAACATAGAGAAGCAATCCATTCTCAGGTTTTGGATCAGCAGAAGCGTTCATGGCAAAGCTTTCTGGACTCGCGCCTTTCGTCCATTCCACTTGCCCTTCTCCTGGCCCTTCTTAGCGGACATGTCAGCGTCGCTGGACTTTCCCCTTCCATTCTCCTGGCACGAGCTGAGAACGGTCGGACGTTTCATGAGCCCTTGCCAGTGGCACAGGAAACCGGCGCCTTGAAGACTGGGCTTCCAAAGAAGCCACACAGTCTCGGCTGGAGGGCCAGCCGCTACTGTTAGCTCAGATCAACCAACTGCAACGATCGGGCATCAACAAATCACTGATATCATAATGCTCACTCCCTCAAGCTTCTTTTTCCAGCGCGATCGGGTGTGGAGCGTTGGCTTTGCCAAAGCCCAAGCGCCTGAATACGGCATTGCGCTTCCATTGCAACTTCTGCTCTTGGCTCCGAATGGTCGTGTTGGATGGCTCAACATCAGCCGCAGTCGCTCGAACATCCGGATCGTTGATGAAAAGTCTGGCTGCCGAATGCTCAGCCAACTGCTTCTTTTCGAAGATCTCGCCCTGGAACTGTTTGCCACTCCACGCATAAAAGACTCCGCTCCTGTCTGCGGCTGTGCATGTCAGCGTGGATTGCAAGCCGCCTTCAACCCTCACCGTGTTGTATGAGATACCCATGTCTTGTGGCCGTTGACCATTTCCGCTTGGCCGCAAGCGCCTGAGTGTGCGCCTCTTCTTCTCGTGTCCCAAAACAAAATAAATGTCAGCCAGAAAATTGCGAAACCTCAACCATCAAGGAATTGTTGACTCCTTAACTTGGCCCGAAGCAACAACAGAACCAAAAAAGACAGCCGCAACCCTAACATTGCGGAAAACGAGGCCGCATGCCTGCCTTCACACCGTGACAAACCTGGGACAACTAAGCCACCCACGCCATGAAATCGTGAACCGTCGTCTTGCAGGAACGCCCCGGCTTGTCAAGGTCAAACCTATCGGCCCTGGGCTGCGCCAAAGTGCGCCGCTTCGCTTTGCCTCCCCCACCTTGTCTTCTTGACTTCAAAGGCGCACCGTTTGGTCTTGGCGTGCGTGGACATGGCTCGGGCGTGGATCTCCCGGCCCGGGAACGGGAGCTGGAGCGGTCAAGGGACCGCGAAGAACAACTCCTCCGGCTCGGCCGGGACTCACTCCTTGACCGACTTGACGAGGCACGCCGGGATCGACTCCTTGACCGGCTCTCGGAACTTGCTCCCTCGGAGGCTTCAGGCATGGTGCAGGCGCTGGCAATCAGCCTTCCACTGCCTAGGTTTAGCCATGCCAAGCTGGCCTTGTCTCCTGCGCCAGAAACTTGCGCCACTTGATGCCATTTGCTCTGAAATAACTCACTGGAATCGAAAGATCTGAGTTTCGCCTGCCTGGCACCCGTCACCCAAGAGGTGTTGATGTGGGAGTTGCCCAATTACTCAGTTGTCTCCGAACTTCCAAGAGCTTGCAGGCAGGGTGTGTTAGATATTCTATGATAGTCGCTATTGTAACCATTATCACGAGCGCGGCGCCGGAGGGTCGCTGGACATATTGTCAGGCCGGCAGGGCAGGGCATGAAAGCAGCGCCCTTCTGGCCATACCAAACAGAAACATCCCCACCCGTTAAGGTAGTCTGCCCACTCTTTACATCCACAAGAGATTGGCCAGAACACAACGGGTGACTCCGACAGGTTGATTTCAAAACCATTGCCCTCAGCTTGCATCTAACGTGGGGCTGTTTGCCATTTGCTTAAGCAAGAAGCTTGGAAAACGGTCGCATCAAAAGGCTGACGGGATGATCCTTTCAACAGCAGTCTCTTGCGAAATGCCCAGGTTCCACTACCAGGCTACACCCTGGGAACATATTTTTTCCAGCAAGCACGATCGCTTTGCCCGGCCTTTCCTTTTCCCTTGCCACCCTTTGGTCGCTTTGCACCCTTTCCGCTTTCTTTGCTGCAGCCGCCCATGGCACAAGTGACACCTGGCAGCAGCTGCAGTGCGATCGGTCAGCAAGGAGAAAGGATGGAAAATGCCCCGTCTCCAACCTGGCTGAAGTTCAACCGTTGGCTCTTCGCTATGCTACACAAAAGATTTGTAGGCTATGTCCTGAAAGTGCGGCCACTTTCTGCACTGGCCTCACAGTAGACGTGTTCGGCATGCCCGGTGGCTTAAGCGCAAAGAGGCCAGCCCAACACTTGCTTGTTTGCATTGACACACGCTCGCTCCATCCCTTCAGCGCAATTCGAAAGTCTGCTCACGCTGGCACCAAAAGCGCCAAACTTTAGCAAGTTCATTAAGTTGATTGGCCCGAGACACCTAGCCCCAAGCTAGGGGCGTGCCACTTACACAGGGCTCAATCAAACATGGTAATTGCCTCATGCTACGTCCTGTCAGACCTGCTTCCGTGCGAACTGGCGATAGCACAAGCTGATCTGCCGGAGGGCTTTGTCCAGGGGTGCAGCCAAGTCAAATCAACCATCGCGCGCCTGGCCTGTAAGCAGGAGCGGGTTGGGACTGTTCCGTGGCAGGACGTCTAAGCCAGGTTGACGCGCAAGGGTGGATGCAGCTGGCGAAAGCGGAAAAGTAGGATACGACATGCTGAGACTGTCCATTGCGGCTTTTCGCTGATTCTGTCGAGTAGAACCTCTGCTTGCAACCCGTTTTGGGCGCAGCTAGGAAACGCTTCGCCTGCTTCAGGAGCCTCCAGTGCCGCCGCTGCTTCATCGCGCTCTTGCAAATGCAATACTTTGGACTGCCACAAAACATGGGACAGCAACTGCTGAGGGGCATCGCACTTTCATGGCTCAAACAGAAAACAGAGGAACACATGAAAACGGGCAACACATTGACATGAAAATTCCCAAACATATCAAACGGATCCAACCTCTTGGCCATCAGGCCATGAGAATTCTCGTCTGACTCTCGAGCAGAGCGGGCTGATCGAGCTTCTGGAAGGCGGAGAGCCAAGCCTAGAGGGTATCTATCCGGGCAAACTGCAGAGTCCGAGTCAAACTCTCGCACCCCGAATGAATCGAACTCTCTCTCTCTCTCTATCTCCCTGTGTTTGCAGTCTCTGAAAAGAGCTCATTTGTCTGGCATCGCAATCATTGCTGCAGAGGAAAAATACACTCTACAGCTTTAACTTGATATGATAGTAGGATGCATCTGGAACGCGCGTGAGTGGTAAAGCAAACAATCCTGCCACAGGCACAAGGCAAACATGTCACGGATAGCAACATGCATTGCGTCTGCCCGGCCTGCGTCAAGTCTCTATGCTGTCGGACGGGGACCACTTGCTCGCTCTGACCTGGCTGATGCTCCAAGCAGGCAATGTGAGGGAGCTCCATCTACGCGCTATGAGGATTCACTAGCAGGGTGCCTATTCACAGTCTCGAGCGGCTGAGGGCGCTCGAGAAAAAAATGCCCATCATCTTGGCAAGCCTTGTCACGGCTGTTGGAGGTGTAAAGGGTGGCCAACGAGGCAACTGTGTGGGCCTCGCTTTCTCAGATCTCACAAGGCTGAGTTGCTCCCCTGCTGATCTACCCGCGATGGGATTCTTGCAATTTGGTGCGCAGCTCAAGAATTGCACGAGGGAGTGACTTCCTGCGCGAAGGATTGTTCACCGCAGGGACAAAAGCAATGCTGGCACCCGTCATATTTAATCGGTCTTCTTGACACATTCCACCCGACTTTGGACTCTCGCATCATTTTACGACTCCTTTCCTGCAATATCAAATCTCAACAGCCTAGACTAGCCAAACATAAACCTGGCAAACGCCTCTTCGCTGCAAGTTAACCCCTCACACGGATTCGAGGCAGTGCACCTCCATTGCTGCAGCTCGGTTGAGACCCTGCGAATCGAAGAGGTTGAAAGGGAAGTCGAGACCAGCGGCCTGCTAGGGCATATGTTAGGCATTCGTGGCCATGCGACATTGCAGGTGCAGTATATCTGGGTTGACAAAAATTCGAGGGCCCTTTTTGGGAGCCCCCACTGGACTGGATGAAAGCCTGCTGTTTGGCAAGCCTCCATCTCTGAAGATCAGATCTGAGCCTCCGGCAGGATGGCTGACCGGCCTGGCAGGACACTCTGCGCAGACTCCGTTGCCAAGTCGAAAGCCAAGCCCAGCCAGATCAGTTCTCAAAGGCTTTCCCACATCAGGCGTTCCCACCCAAAGCAGAAATCCGGAAAAAAAATGAAAAAAAGAAACGCGGGTCTAGGCGGGGACATCGCCCAAACAGTCTGCAATGCGTGAGGCGCCTCAGCGAAAGAGGGCCCTCAGCTCCGCATCCCTGCCCTTCTGGATCCGGCCCAAAGGCTACTCTGCCTCGGGGAGGCGAAACCGGAAGCCCCCGCAAAGGCCATATGGCTGTGGGTCAAAAACAGGTACCCAAAATGGCACCCTGGTAAATGGAAACAATGACTAAAACCTGTGGTCCCCTGGTGCTGGTGGTTTAATTTTGACCCATACCCATATTCTCAACGCAAAGGAACCAACCTGGCTCGTCCTCCGTTTCGTGCAATGATCCATTGAAGCGAAAGGGCACCCTCCTGCCCAAAGTCACGTGGCACCTTGAAGAAGTGGGCGGACACTTTTGTCTGCGCAGCAAGCCCAAAGCGCCAGTGCAAACCAAAAGTCAATCGTGAAACACACTGGACCCGGCACCCTCCTGCCCGAAGTCACGTGACGGGGCCAAGACAGACTTTCTTTGCCGCCCCATTCCAATAACGCTAGGGTTGGCCCCAGTCCTTCTACCTTGTGCACGGAGCGGATATTCAAGTTCGGTACATTTTGGTACCAACACCACTCCAGGCACAGCTGTCAAGCAAAGTACGAGCCGGACAGCCCTCCAGCGAGCGCAAACAACAAAACTTTCAGACCTCCGGCTTCACGTGTGGAGAATGATGCCTCAGCTGCCAGGGTGGTGGAACCGCCGTCACTACTAGTCGAGCTGCCACTCGACCTGGGCGGGTCGCAGTCCTGGTAGCAAAACTCGAAGCGAACCAACCAATTCGCAGGATCCCCAACGTAAGCGACGGCTTTGCCGTTGACGATGAGCAAGTCGTCAGCGAATGGCAGGTTGAATGGGAAGGCCAGGGCGGCCTCGGCAAGTTCTGGTTCGCCCTGCGCGTTCACAATCATGAACTCATTCCTCTGATGGACGTCGGACCAAACCTCCCAAAGGAGCAAAATCGATCCACCGAGGTCCGCAGTCTTCAAGCGACTCACGGACTCTGCCAGATCCGCCTTGGAGGTGAGAAAACTGACTCCGCGGTTACTCCGTGCTTGCCAAATGCCTTCTTCAGAGTAGTATCCGCCGTCTTCATTTTCTCCAGGCGAGAGCACCGAGCTGTTGCTCAAATCCCGTGGGATCTTCACGAAGCCCACATTTCCTGACAAGTACTTAGAACATATGAGCAACTTGCGAAACCTCTTGTATAGCCAAAGGACATCGGGGGGCATCGTTTTTTCGTAACCCTATCGTTTTACAGGGTTTTGTGCGTTCCACCGCTTCACGTGAAATCGAAGTACGCTATGCCAGCTTAAAAGTCGCAACTTTCAGTACAAGTGTGGTAAAGGAAGTACTCTTTGGCAGCTCCGGCTCGAAAGTCGCAACTTTTCAGTACAAGTGTGGTAAAGGAAGTACGCCTTGGCAGCTCCGGCTGGAAAGTCGCAACTTTTCAGTACAAGTGTGGTAAAGGAAGCACGCTTTGGCAGCTCCGGCTGGAAAGTCGAAACTTTTCAGTGCAAGTGTAGTAAAGGAAGTATACTTTGGCAGCTCCGGCTCGAAAGTCGCAACTTTCCAGCACAAGTGAAGTCAAGAAAGTACACTTGGGCAGCTCCGGCTCAAGAATCGCAACTTTTCAGTACAAGTGTAGTACTTTCCAGCACAAGTGAAGTCAAGAAAGTACACTTGGGCAGCTCCGGCTCAAGAATCGCAACTTTTCAGTACAAGTGTAGTAAAAGCTCCGGCTCGAAAGTCGCAACTTTTAAGCACAAGTGTAGCAAAAAACACACTTTGGCAGCTCCAGCTCGAAAGTCGCAACTTTTCAGTACAAGTGTAGAAGGAAGTACACTTTGGCAGCTCCGGCTGGAAAGTTGCAACTTTTCAGCACACGTGTAGTAGCATCTTTTCAGTAAAAGTAGAGAAAAGGAAGTACACTTTGGCAGCTCCGGCTTGAAAGTCGCAACTGTTCAATACAAACGTTATAAAGAAAATACACTCAGCTGCTCATTTCCTTACATGAGGGCCCCCGCGCACAAGACCGTGTTTAGTTGGGCGTCGTCTTCTTCTGTCACCCTATCGTTTCGCATGCTTTTGGCACGTTCTACTGCACATGCTGGTATGTCACGCCCACCCCTTTACATATTGGTCTTTTAGAGGTTTTGATAGACGCTCATATGCTGTATCCTACGCCCCTGGATTGAGAAGAAACACCCTGAGCGAGCCACTAAGTCGTCCGAGTCTCGAGCAACATTCAGCAACTTCCCCACCGCCGAGCCGTCGAGGGGCGGCGCCTCCCCGGCAAAGAACACGAGAACTGCGTCATCAAGCTCGTGCAGCCCAGGGTGGGCCAACTCGGTGTAGACCGCATTGTCGTTCTTGCTCCACTGGTAGAAGGTCTGCGTTGCCGTGGAAATCTCCTCGTAGACTGGGACAACTTTGCCTGACAGCGTTGTGTCACTGCTGCGATGAAGGATCTTGTTGCGATAGACCACCCTGTGCTGCTTGCCCGACGAGCTGGCCTCGAGCTCCCACACTTGGATGCCCCGTGGATAGGCGTCGCCCAAGTCCATGCCCAAGTAGAAGTCCTCCTTCTCTGAGACATGCAAAGAGTTGGCCCAGGAATGGCTGGCTGCCGCAGAGGTCCGGACTTTCTGCAAAGTTGTTGCATTGAAGATGATGTTGGTGGTTCCTTGGTGGTTCACGCCGTCGCCACCATCAACCCACTGCATCGCAACCGACATGGCGATGGTGCCTGAGCTTACATGCCACGCAAGGGAAGCCCCGGACTGAAAGAAGGACCAAAGGCCCAGATCTTGGCTGGGGAAAGGCACTCTTTGCAGCTCGCTGCCGGCCGAATCGAACTTCACAAGCTCTCCAGGGGCGTTGGCCTTCTGGTCGGCAGGTTCTTCGTTACTGCCCAGCAGCAGGACAATGGTGCCAAGACCATCGCCAACTGCGCCTACAAGAATCGCCGTTGATGAAAGCGCAGTCAGAGAAATGGTCTGCGATGACAGAAGGTCCGCCGCTAGCCAAGTCAGCTTGACAGAGTTGCTGTCAAAGTCCTGCCAGACGATGCCCTCGCGAGCTGCGTCCTTGACCGGAAAGAAGCGCTTGTAGTCTCCATAGAGGCAGTTGGAGGAGCTTGGGCCATGAGCCCACTGCCTCAAAGGCACGAAGGGCTGTCCCTCAACACGGAACCTCCGGGCAGTGAGGCTATAGCTGCCATCCCCGTCGAGCCACGCTGCCTCAACATTCAATGCCTCTTCTGGCCAAGTGGTAATGTGAGCACTGCTTGGCTGGAGGATGACAATCAGGGGGCCCGCCAAGCCGTCGACCCGAACTGCCAAGTCGTCAACCCGAACGTTGGTCTTGCTGTGGTTGCCAGCCTCAACCTTGACGGTGTCCAGCGGGTGGAGGCCGCTTGCCTGAAGAGCCCAAATCGTGATATCCTGCGTCGCCTGCCTGACGTAGAGGTTGATATGGCTTGCGACGAAGGCGGTTGCCGTCTTGCTGGGGGGCGAGACTCGGAACGCATCCAGCACGACGCCGTCGGAGCCGGTCACCCGACCGCTCTCGAGGACGAAGTCACTGTTCGCGTACTCCCCCGAGTTCCAGCACTTGCCGTCCGAGATTCGCTTCATGGTGACAAGGGCAATGTCGCCAAAGGTGTTGGCCTCGAGCAAGGCTGCGGAGGATCCGGCCTCACACTCCGTCAGACCGTGGCCCGACATCGTCCTCCGAGTCGGGCCTGGCGGCGGCTGGTCTGCTCGCACCACGACGTAGACCTCTGCCATGGAGAGCTCCTCTACGTGCACTCCAGTCGGCACGAAGCCTTGCATGTTGCCAGCCTGCACAGTCACATGTGGGATCAGCAGAGCCTCCTTCAAGCGATACAGCTTGTACTCCAAGGCGTCACCTGAGGCTCAGAAGCAAGCTTACCTGCGGGGGAACCTGTTCTTTTTCACCCAAACCTTTTTTGAACCCTTGCCTGTTTTTTCAACCCTTCACCCTTTCAATTTAACCCTCGCCCCGTCCTCGCCCCGTCTTTTTTAACCCTCCCCCCTTCGTTTTTAACCCCTCCACCTTTTCCCTGCGGCCGATGCCTGCGGTAAGTTAGGAATGGGTTGGTTTAGTGCGGTTTTGGATTCAGGGTTGGTTTAGTTTGGGGTGGGTTTCGGATGGGAAGGGTGGGTTTACAGTTGGTCTTGAGGAGGTTGGTTAGGGTTTGTTCAGGCTGGGCTTAGGGTTGACTTAGATTTGGTTACGGGTTGCTGCACGTTGGGGTTGGGAAAGGGTGGGTGGTGGATCCAAGTAGTTTGTTTGGGGTGGGCTAGGGTGGTTGGTTCAGGGGGTCTTTGGTCAAGGGTGGGTTTAGCTTGGTTTCAGGATGCTTTGGAGTTGTTTAAGGTAGGTCTGTGGTGGGTGGGTATAGTCTTGGTTTAGGGTTGGCTATGGCTGGGTTTGGAATGGGTCTACGATAGGGCTGGTTTAGGGTGGCGTTAGGGGGTTTTTAGGGCTGACTCAGGGTAGGTTTACAAGGGGTTGGATAGGGGCGGTTTAGGGTTGGTTTAAGGTGGATTTAGGGTAGGAAGAGTTTGATCGGCTTAGGCTTGGTGTAGGTTGGTTTGCCCCGGGCCGAGGGTGAGAAAAAAGGTTCCTGCAAACGGTTCCCAAGCAGGGTTTCAGGGTTCGAAAAAAAAGAAAAGGAAGGGTTAAATAAACAAGTTTGGGGGTGAAAAACAAAGGGAGCCCCTTACTGCGTGGCAAGCTAGACTCTACAGATTCAACATCCAAAGACAAGGGCGGGATGTAATTCGAGTAGCTGCTAGCATTATGACATCAGGAATGTAGCCAAAGGATGTCGAAATGTCCAGCCGCAGCCTCAGAACTCATAAATCTAAAAAAAGCAACTACTTCCGACCCCACCTGGTAGCAGAACATACACCTGCTGCCCGCTGGCCGCAAATGCCGAGGCCTGTGACTGTGGCGGCTGTATCTCGAACGCGTCCAAGCTCTGCTCGCCGATCCGAACCACTCCAAGAACGATGGGAAAGTCGCTGTGGCTGTACCTCGCGTCCTTTGTGGTCCAGCAGGGTTGCCCCCCTTTGGGAAAGATGGCAAGAGCCACGGACGAGGCATTTGCCCCGGTGAAGTCCAGAGATTCGTCACACTCTGAGGGGCTCCGCCCACTCAGGACGACCGGCGAGGATGTTGCCTCGAAGACTGCTTCCACAACTGGATCAGCCTGGAAGCTGTAAAGGTGCAGCGGGCTCAACGCGGCCGCGCAGAGCCCGCCGAAAACAGCGACACTCAAGAGTGAGCAGGGCATGGCGCAGTAGAGTCTACAACTTAGGATTTGAGCAGGCGCTGTTGCGAAGCGTGTTTAAGGTTTTTCGCGACACCCGATGCGCAAAACTCGCTTTGAGATTATGATTATTCATGCTGAGCAGCATGTGAACTTCTCCGTTCTGGCAATGCATCCACCAGCTTGCGTTCTCTTCGCCGTTTGCCGGACTGCCAAACCCTCTCAGCTCGAAAAGTCAGTTGGCATGCGTCTGTGCACTCAATTCTCCCTGGAGTTGTGCACGGACAGCGTAACCATACCGGCCATCTTTGGCAAATCGCCTCACAACCTGTCATGACAATCTGTTCTGTGACTGAGGGCCCCCACAAATCCGCTAGATTTGCAATTGCACCTCCAGTGCTGCAAGCAAAACAGAACAGAATGTCTGTAAACTCCCAGAAGAAGCGTTTCGAGGTCTGTGGCATGTTCCTGTCAAGGATGTGGGTGGCCAAGAACAGGTGACGCCAAAACTGTCAGATTCAGACATGCGTCTTGAGCTGCGCACCAACTGCAAGAACGAGTAGAGCAGCCAGGGCCAGGTGAGCTATTCACAGGCCTGGTCAGCTCTGAGGCTTTACACACCCTCCCACTCCCATGGAAAGCTGGAATCGTCTATGGGCACCGGCAAATGGCGGGCTCAATGATCCCTTTGTGGGCCCCAATAAAGATGAAGACAGGGCAGAAGCAAACTGTGGTAGTTCGGCTCCGCCCTGGTCCGTTGTGATGCCTGTGTTTTGGCCTGGGTTGCAAGAAAACACTGCATTGGTGTTGCGGCCGCTTCTCTCTTCTCACATGATAGTTCCGATAAGCAACCTTGGCTGTTCAGGGTACCCGATCTAGATTGGTTTTGAAGGAAGCCAAAAGGAAACCCAGCCATGTTGGGGGTTGTCCTGCGTTGGAGTTTCCCCTGTGCGAGATGGGAAGCAACGAAGATGGTCAAAGTCAGCTGGCCGTGTTGCTCCTTGACTTGCCACTTGAGCCATAATCAAAACCCGGCACAAAAATGGTCGGCCCAGAACCATGTAAAGAACTAAGGCGGCCACAGCTGTTTATGGTTGGGATCGTCCCTTAACCTTCACGAACCCGGGTTTTGATCGTGACTCACTTAGGGGGTGGCTTTGACAGGTTATCCAAAAAGGACAGCAAAAGAGCCAAAAAAGTGAACCTGGCTGGAAGACTGTTGGGATTCCCGTTTCCCAAAAAGGACACCCCACATGTCACCTTTGGGGTGGTAAGGCAAACACAAATGTTGGTTCCAAGACGAACCAAAGAAAACATACCCTGCTGTATACCTTTGTCGGGCTCTCCCTTGGAGCCAAAAAAAACACCATGAGCCTGAGGTGCTCCATCTCTTCCCCACTGCCCTTGATCCACTAGCAGAAGCTGTGGTCTCGGTCCTGGCGAAGGAACAAAAAAAGGTCATCCCATGACTACTTTATCACCTTACAAGGGATTCTCTTCGTATCGCGTGGCCGCAAAACCCTCTTGCAAAGGGAGACTGTAAGCTTCCTTCGCTGGGAGATACATGCACTGTACGAATATTATGTGTATATATATACACATGTATGTGCTTATTGATCTATTCATTTGTTCATTCGTTCACTCACTCACTCACTCACTCACTCACTCACTCACTCACTCACTCACTCACGCACTCACTCACTCACTCACTCACTCACTCACTCACTCACTCACTCACTCACTTACTCATTTCATTCATTTCATTCGTTTCATTAACTTCATTCATTTCATTCATTTCATTCAATTCATTCATTTCATTCATTGCATTCAATATTTTATTATTTCATTAGCTATTTCATTGATTATTTCATTAGTTCTTTCATTGATTATTTCATTCTTTCATTCTTTCATTCTTTCATTATTTCATTATTTCATTATTTAATTTGTTCATTCTTTCATTGTTTCTGTAATTGTTTCTTTCATTCCATTCATTAATTCATTCATTCATTCATTCATTCATTCATTCCATTCATTCATTCATTCATTCATTCATTCATCAATCCATCCATCCATCCCTCCATCCCTCCATCCCTCCATCCATCCATCCATCCATCCATCCGTCCATCCATCCATCCATCCCATCCATTCCATCCATTCATTCCATTCATTCCATTCATTCCATTCATTCCATTCATTCCATTCATTCCATTTCATTCATGCATTCATGCATTCATTCATTCCATTCCATTCCATTCCATTCCATTCCTTCATTCATTCGTTCGTTCGTTCGTTCCTTCCTTCCTTCCTTCATTCATTCATTCCTTCATTCACTTCGTTTCATTTCATGTCATGTCATTCATTTCATGTCATTTCATTCCATTCCATTCCATTCATTCCATTTCATTCATGCATTCATTCGTTCGTTCGTTTCGTTTCATTTCATTTCATTCCATTCCATTCCATTCCATTCATTTATTTCATTCATTCATGTCATTCCATTCCATTCCATTCCATTCCATTCCATTCCATTCCATTCATTCATTTATTTCATTCATTCCATTCCATTCCATTTCATTTCATTCCATTCCATCATTCATTCATTCATTCATTCGTTCGTTCATTCGTTCACTCATTCATTCATTCCTTCATTCATTCATTCATTCATTCATTCATTCAGTCATTCATTCATTCAATTCAATTCATTCATTCATTCATTCAATCAATTAATTTCATTCTTTCCATTCATTCATTTATTCATTCCATCCATCCATCCATTCATTCATGCAAAATTCATGGATTCATTCTCATTCTCATTATCATTATCATTCTCATTTTCACATTCACATTCACAGTCACAGTCACAGTCACATTCACATTCACATTCACCTTCACCTTCACCTTCACAATCACAATCACAAACACATTCACATTCACATTCACATTCACAATCACAATCACAATCACATTCACATTCCATTCCATTCATTCATTTATTTCATTCTTTTCATTCCATTCCATTCCATTCCATTCATTCATTTCATTCATTTCATTCATTCGTTCGTTCGTTCGTTCATCCATTCATTCATTTATTCATTCATTCATTCATTCATTCATTCATTCATTCATGTATTTCAATCATTCATTCATTCATGTATTTCAATCATTCATTCATTAATTCCTTCCTTCCTTCCTTCATTCATTCATTCATTCATTTCATTCATTGCATTCATTTCATTCATTGGTTCAAATATTTATATATATATATTCCCGTATCGGGACGAAGGTACCCAAATAGGAAGTGGCGGTGAAAGCCCACCACGCAGTGGCAACACGATTCCTGAAAAAGGGAAAGCATGGGAAAGCAAAAATGAAACCGAACCAGTTTTCAAACCAGATTCCGTAAAGTTTTGGAGTAACCCTGACCTGGAAGTAGGCTACAAAAAAGGCAAACGGGCCACGCAAGGTCGGTCATCTGGTGCGTGGCCACAACTAAACGTGGTTTCCCGAACTGAGTCGAAGAACACAGAAGGTTACCGCCCCAAAACAAACAAACAAGCAAAACACAACAACACAGAACAAGCAAAACCAACATAACGCACAAACACAAAAACAATCACATAAACAAGCAAGACACAAGAAAAAAAAAATCTTCCCGACCAACCAACCCACCAACCAAACAGACAGACCAGGATATCACATGTTCCTGAAGACATAGAACACTCGAGCCCCGACATGTCCTTCCGTGCCATCTCTCTCGCCCCAAGCTCGCGAAAACCGGGGGCAAAACGGCTGGTGCGACATCCGCAACCATTTCCGGTGCGGCGTTAAGGAAAAAAAAACAGGGGAACCGGGTTCCATTTGTTTGACCTGATAGACACCCAAACCCGGGTTTAGGTCCCCTTTTTGGGCTTCGTGACTCACCTTGGGTTTCAGTCATTGTGGGAGTAGTCAAAAAGTGGAGCCTTGCACGGGAAGCGTTCAAGCAAAATTGCAACGATGCATCAAGGGTTGCAACCTGTGCTTTAGCACCTGCAGCTTGCAGCCCAGCTATGCTGTGTCGAAACACCTAGATCCTGCAACCCAGCTGTGCCGTAATCACAAGCACCTGAAGGTTGCACAATACCCATGCTGCGCATAAACGCCTCTGAAGCTTGCGAGCTGTGTGAGCGCTTCCTGACGCAGTCCGGCCTCGTTGAACCCCGCATCAAGTCCACCATGAGTCAGTGCAGTGTGTGCGTGTGTGCGCGGCGTTGACACCGTGTCTTCTAACCCCAACACCTCAGCGTGTTATGTCCACTCTTGTGGTTGCTGAGAAAGCACTCTGGGCAACTGCTTACGCTGTCTGCCGAGAAAGCTTGACAGGATGAAAGTGGTCTGCCATTCTCTTCGCTTTGGACACAAACGGACGGGCACCATCTACTTTCACCCTGTAAGTTCCGCAAGGGCCGAGCCTTGAGGGGCCGAGTCGGTTGAGTCCATAAAGCTTGGAACTTTTTTGCACAGCTCTCGGTGAGTCACCTCTCGGTTGTGTCTAAAGAGATCACAGCTCCGCAATTTGTGGATTTTCGGGGAAGAGGCTGCCAAAAAACATGCTGGACCTGCCAAAAACCACGCGCGCATGCCGAATCTTCCAGGTTCCGGTGAAAAGCAAACAACCAAACAAAAACTAGCAAAACAAAAATGGCCTCACACAAAAGCAAAATCTAGGATTTCATGGCTAATAAGCGGTTCTTTTGCCAACAGCATGTCACATTTCACGACATAGTTACATAAGACTTGGGTTTTGGAGACATGTCTAGTCAATGCAGCACACTTTGGTTGCGTGGCAGCAAGGCCACTGCGGCACCCCAGGCGTCGAGACAGAACGCAGCGCCGACATTTGGGTGACGCCCGGTGGCTTCCCCAGGCATCGCCATGCAAAGGGAAACACAGCGATCCTCGTTGCCCAGAGCCATGCGACTGAGTTGACAAACTGCTTGCCCGCTGACCATCTCTACATAAAACTTCCCATGTGCAGAAATGTGCAGAATGAACTGAGATAAAGCCCTGGCACAGCCTACTGCGTCCTTCTTGCTTTGGAGTCGGCAGCCAGCCCTTAAATTTATGACTATCCTCCACATACCCGAGAGGGCGTTCAAGGAAAGAGCATCCCGGTTCGCCAGCAGATCATCGCAAATCTTTTTTGCAAACTGCTCGTTCGCGCTGTACAACGAATTCGTTGGATGTCAATTCCATTCAGCTCCAGGGCCTGAACTTTGCCTTTCTTGGTGCTGAACCTTGCCATGCCTGTCAGGTGAATTGCTGGAGAACTGGCATCAAATCCAGCGAGTATGTCTTCCCTGCCAGAAACGATGAAAGCATGCAAAGACCAGCCTCCCTCCGCATCTCTTCAATTTCCATCCGCAACCGTGCCTTGCAACTAGCTTGCTTCCGACAGCTTGCAAGACCAGCATGTCTCGCCCACGGTCAAAAACATTCAGGACTGTTGAAGAAAATCTGGCCTCGTCGGCTGTCTCTGGAAGTATTTGGGGCCTTAGTTTGCGTATTGCAGCTGTTGCGCGCATGTGCTTGTTACCTCTGTCTCCATCTGAGCTCCCGGCTCTTTGCAAGCCTCTTCTGCCTCGAATGATGCAAGCGGCCGATCCGCTGAAAAGTTGGCGCGCTGATAAACTATCTGAGTCTCACCGCTGGCGCATCCTCGGAATCTGTGTCCTGAAAGGCAGACCCAATGTGAGCAACAAGAAGCCCGTGCTGTACACAAGAAACATGATCCATCCGTCATCCGCAATCCCATCTCCTCCAAGCTGTCCAGCCACGATTGCACATCGTCACCTGGCTGTGGGTCAAAAATAGGTACCCCAAATGGAACCCTAGTAAGTGTACACATCGACCAAAACCTGCGGTCCCCTGGTGGCTTAATTTTAACCCAGACCCACCTGTTGCGCTTTGCGTTTCCGCGTTTGGACATTCTGGGCTCCAGTCAGCAAGGCCTGGCATGCAGCGCTTCAGCCACCGCAGCAGGCTAAACGACCTCATCTCTCTTCCACAAAATGCGGAAGGAAAACCATGTGGCTGTGGGTCAAAATCAATGATACCATTTTGGGGTAGGCGCGCGCCACTTATTTTAGTCTACTTTAGTTGGGATTGGGTGTACGGGTTTTTGACCCATGATTTTCGTTCATCTCGGACCATCCCGCCGCCACTCTGCTTGGCGAAGCTCAACTGGCGGCCATTTAAGCATATTGTTTTTGAGCTTCGCCTCCAGGAATGTCAAGTCCGCCGACATTACGGAGGCGTCGGATACTTAAGAGAGGATAGAGGATAGAAGATAGAAGATAACCCCGCCCTCCGACCGGGGGCGCCCGGCGTTTGATACGTAGGGTTCAGTGGGGGTCCCCCAAGTACCGCGCGGTAATTGATGACGTTCCAGGAAACAGGGGTCCCAGGCTGGAATCCCCTGCTGGCTCTTTGCTGGTTTGGGTTTCCTGCCTCCTTTTTCCGAAAATCTGGAAAAACTCTGTGTTGTGTTGACTTCATTTTTGCGAAACCGCTGGACAAACCATGTTTTTTTTTTTTTGCGGGAAAATACTGGGGAGCAAAGGGGGAATGCAAGGTAATGCAAGGAAATGAGGGAGGAAATAGGAGGTCGACGTGACACGACAGCAAGGGGACATGAAAGGGAAACAACGGGGAACTGAAAGGGACATGAAAGGGACAGAAGTGAAAACAAGGGGAGTGCAGGGGGAATGAAAGGGAAACAACGGACAAGGACACCAATCGACACGACGGGAGATGTAGGGAAATGACTGGCAACGAAAGACTGGGATCGAAAACGAAGCGGACATACCGAGAAAATGACAGGGACATGAAGGGGGAGTTGAAAGGAATGGAAGGGACATGACCAGGACATCATGCGAAACGCGAAAAGGACAAGTAGTAAGCAAACAGTTCAGGGTCATGAAGGGGCAGTGCCTGGACATCGAGGCAACTCGGGGGGCGTAACGCCAACGCAGAGAGAGAGAGAGAGAGCTAGAGAGAGACAGAGAGAGAGAGAGAGAGTGGGAGAGAGAGAGAGAGAGGGACACAAAGAGCGAGAAAGAGAGAGAAAGAGAGGCAGAGACGGAGCCAGAGTCAGGGAAAGAGACAGAGAAAGAGAGAGAGAGAGAGCTAGAGAGAGACAGAGAGAGAGAGAGAGAGAGTGGGAGAGAGAGAGAGGGAGGGACACAAAGAGCGAGAAAGAGAGAGAAAGAGAGGCAGAGACGGAGCCAGAGTCAGGGAAAGAGACAGAGAAAGAGAGAGAGAGAGAGAGAGAGAGAGAGAGGGAGAGAGAGACTAGGTCCTCCAGTAGAGAGGTTAGAATCAGGGTACCTTTTTTTCTGTAGAGAGGCGTGGACAGGAAGGAGACAGGGAGACAGAAAGAGAAAAAGAAACATAGAGAGAGAGAGAGAGAGATATAGAGAGACAAAGAGCGGGAGATTGAGGAGAGAGAGGATTGGGGAGATGGGGAGGATGGGGAGCAGAGGGAGGGAGAGAGGACGACAAAACACACGGGGGAGACAAGAGACAAAGGAAGAAGGAGAAAAGGGAGAGGACAATGTCGGCGGACTGAGCCGGAGGCTCTCAAGTTTTGCTTTGTAAAGTGACAGGATCTTCGGTGACTGAGGGCCCCTACAAATCTGCCAAATTTGCAATTGCACCTCCAGCGCTGCACAAAGATCAGATCATCACAACGCCTATGAAGTCCCAAAGCGTTCTGAGCTGTGGCATGTTCCTGTTCGGGGCTCGGGGGCAGGGGCGTGGCATGTCCTGAGCTGCGCACCAACTGCGAGAATCACATCCCATTGCGGGTAGATGAGCCAGGACCAGGTGAGCAATCCACAGGCCTGGTCAGATCTGAGACAGCGAGCCCCGCGCAAGTGCTTCCTCGACCGCCCTTTGTGCACCTCCAAAAGCCGTGACCAGGTTTGCCAAGATGATGCCAAGCGGTATCTCCAAATCGCATCATCTCTGGCGTGCCGTCCTTAGCCCAAACGCACAGCGGATGAGTCGAGGCGTTGCAATGAGTCTTGACTTGAGCCGGCAGCTGTAGTGCTGCTTCCACTCCGCGCTGGCCTGACAGGCAAGCTTAACTTTCACGACGCAATCCTGCTGGGAGCTTAACAAGCCTCCAATGCTGCCACCGATTGATCGCGCTCTGCGATGTAGAAATGAAGGCCCTCAAGGAGAAAATATGGCAAGAGAGAGCAGGAAGCAGACGTTCAATGCTATTGAGCCTTGCTGGCTGCACTTCCATTCAATACCGCATCAATTCTGTACTTCGAACGGCCAACCAGGGGGAAAAGCAACACATGCAAGACGGAGATGCCCAAACAGCTTCGTTCATGCCAACCACAAGGATCCCAACTGCCCAGTGGGCTCCCAGCTCTTCCAATGGCGCTGGCTGCCGCGCAGCGATGGCTGTGCAGTGTCTCGGATCGATCTGTCACTGGACCGTTGCATCTCCACTAGCTTGTCCCATTACGCAAAAGCGCTCATAGAAACAGCGCGACTGGAGATGGCCCCATGTCGGCAGCCCGGCACCAGTTAGCCAGCCTGCTGCGCAATGTCAACAGTCGCAGATATTGCTGCCGTTGCGAGGACGCATGCTGCCAAGATCCTCAGCCAGCAAATCAACCCCTATCAGGCCATGTCTGCATCAGCAAACAAGAAACCCACATGCGTGACAGGGTATGACCAGACCCAACATGCGAGTTTGATCCATTGCCAACCCTGTTGGATCCCCGTGCTTGCAAAGGAATCTTTGCAGGTGGCTGGATGTTGGACTATTGGTCTGGGGTGGGACCCGTTAGAGCTGGTTTAGAGTGGGTTTAGCCATGGGGCTGGGCTTGGGCTGCCTTCTCACAGCTTGGGGTCGAACTAGTGCCAAATTTGGGTGTGGCTCAAAATGAAACAGGAGGGGCAAACCGCAGGTTTTGGTCCATGTTTCCACTTACCAGGGCAACCCATTTTGGAATTCCGGTGTTTTGAGCCACAGCCAAATCTGTGCACAAAAATTGAGGCTCCCTGCTGTGGAGCGCTTCTGGCGCTGGTTCCGCCCGCCGCCTGCTGAATTCGAAGGAAGGCGGCATGACCGTCAACTAGGGCGCCATCAACGAACCAAAATGGGCTGCCCTGGTAAGTGGAAACATGGGCCAAAGCCTGCGGTTTGCCCCTCCTGGCTCAATTTTGAGCCACACCCACGTCAAGTTCGGAGGCTTCCCAAAATCATTTGCCTCTTGAAGAAGGGAGAGGCAAAGTGCAGCCAGCAGCAACAGCAACATCACGAAGGAGCGGCTCAGCTGAGCCGGCAGCGGCAAATGCCTCAGGAGAACACGAGAGCTAGCCACTTGAAGAGAAGGTAGCAGAAGCCTGGCCTTTCTTTTGTTTGGCGGGATGGTTTCTCACTTAGGGTTGGTTTAGGGTTGGCTTAAAGTGGGTTTAGGATCAGCGTTGGCTTAGGTCAAGTTGACATCCCATGTTCATATTCAATTGCAACACTTCGGAACACGACCCACCCTGAGTGCATGTAAGCACTCTCGCTGGAAACACCACAACGACTAGAGCCGAATAGGATAATGTAGGGCGTGAACAAACTGGTAAGGAAAAGAATTGGATAGAAAGGCTGTAGTTACAAACACGCTACATGAATCCTCCAGTCGCTTCGTGCAAACCATTTGGCGAACAACAGGAAGCTACTGGAAAACGACAGCTGTCACTGAAAGAAGCGGGAACAAACAAAACTCTAACAAAATTAAATGTGTTGGAAACTACACACTGGGAGGCCACACCCCATCAAGCATCTCAACTGCGCAGTGATCAGCGGGTAGCTCAAAGCTCCAAGAACTCAGTTGGCGCGAGCAATCTCATCCCTGCACCAAGGTGCCCCTCTTTCCATGTTTGCTTGCCTTCACCTACATTGCCAGAGGCGATGCCAAGCAAACCAGCGGTGTTCAATTGCAAAGGGCTAGTTTTAGCGTACATTTGGCATCAGCAGTTTCTTGCAGCTGTGCCAGCTGTATGGCGAAAAACGTCTGCCAAAAAGCAATCGTTCTTAGAGCCCGGCGAGAGGCTATTATCACTGCTGCACCTTGTGATGACACCTTGCAATACCATCAGAAGCTGTTGGACAGGCTGCACATCCCGCGCAGCTTAGGCAAAACGAAGCCTCCAAGCAAACCATCTTCATCCAGACCTCGCTGCCCTCTGAAAACTGCTCGCACAACCTCAGCATGTCATGCGTTGCAAGGTCCTGATCGAAAGAAAGTGCTCAGGTCTCTGAGGACACTGCTTCTGAGCCAGACCACTCAATGGTGTCCGGAGCAGCGGCGAGGCACCCAAGAAGCAAACGCTCAGCAGCACCCAAGCCAGCCTAAGCCAAGCAGCTGAGGCCGGCCACCGGGCCAAATTCTCAGAGCTCTTGACTGAGTCTCCCCACCAAGCAGCAATGTCAACGCAGAGGCTGATCGAGCTGCTGAAGGCCGAGAGCACCGCCAAGCCTGAGGCTCGTCTAGGCGTGTCCGCCAGCGCCCGAATCAAACTCTCGGAGTGTCCTGCCTGGATGAATCAAACCCTCTCTCTCTCTCTCTCGTGGCAGTCTCTGAAAATATTTGTCTAGTATCGCAATCATTGCTCTATTGACATGTTCACGCGATATGATAGCTAGAGGAAGGTGGTGTGCCCGGCCTGCTAAGATGACCAGTCCACGGCCATACCAATCCTTCCACAGGCGATAGGCAAACATGCACGGACCACAAAATGGGTTGCATCTACCCAGCCTGCATCAAGCGTCTCCGCTGTCGGACAAGGTCCAACCGCTCACTGTGACCTGGCCAATGCTCCAAGCAAGCAATGTGAGGAAGCTCCGTCTGCACACTGCGCTCCACTGGCAGGGGCGACCAATGAGACGCTCCAAGGACAACTCCTCCTCACTGTTCACAGTCTCAAGCACACTTCGATACCTCAGGAGACTTCCGAAAAGCAGCAAAGTGCAAATCCTCACCGGAAATATCAAGGCGTTCGCCTTCGCAAGCTAATGACTTGGCTTGTGTTGGATGAATCAACTCGACTTGATATCCGCCCTTCTGCTACCTCGTATTGCAACAAAGCGAAGCTATAAAAGAACACTCACGCCAGCCTTTGGAAGGGTACTGAGCAGCTCACCATTCCCACAACTCAGGACCCTGTGGAAGAACGAGGGCCTTCCTCACGAGCTCATTGCAGGTGCAAAGTCCAACTCATCAAGGGCGGAAAAAGAACTGTGCACACAAGAATCATACCTCTTATCGTGAGTCATTAACATCTTATCGTGGGTCAGAATGCGTTTTTTTTTTTTTTTTTTTATCGGGGTTCCTATTTTTCTGTTGTGGTAAGGGCAGCGTATAATCATGAGAAATTAAGACTAGAAAGACAACTTGTTTAGCTGACAGCCCAGCCTTTGCAGCGCAGACAGCACTTGCTTCAGCGCTGCCTGCACAGGCACAGCGCACTCCTCTTTGGGGAAAAAACAAACATGGCTCCTGCTCTCAACTCTGGCATGACGTGTTTGAGAGAAAATGCACTTGCAAGACATGCCCATAGTCTGATGCCAAATGAGTCACAATCAAAACCCGGTACAAAAAATGTTCGACCCAGAGCCATGTAACCTTCATCAATCCCCGGGTTTTGAGGACGTGGCTCAAGTGACCGGCCTCTCCAGACGCTCGCCATCTTTTGGCGCTGTCTGCGGCGAAGTTCCCCTGGAAGGCGCTCGCAAAGCTTGGTCCATGCCAAGCAGCGCATGCCTCCCGCAAGGCCCGTCGGGCCTGGCAAGTGGGGGGGTCTTTTTTTAGGGTACCCCATGCTTTGCGGATTTGAAGGGAAACCGAAACTTAAACCCAAAAAAATGAGAAAAAGCAATAAAGCACAATTCTAGTGGATCCCCTTCAAAAGACGCACCCAAGTCTGTTCGTCCACTTTGCACCTCGAGAGGCAGCTCTTCCAAGGACCAAGCCTCGCGCATCGCATGGGTTTGCCTTTCGAACAGCCCACGGCGTTTCCGCCTCGCGGGTCTGGAAGACCTGCCGAATCAGGGCTTTGTCTTCTGCATAGCCGGGGCTCTGGAGGACCTCAGGTGGCAACTTCAAAAGGCACGCGGCAAGAGTCCTACTCAGACATTTGTTGAATCTGCAACAGGGAAATGAGTAGGTCCGGAAACGTGCTTAAATATCACTCGGCGTTTGCCAGGAGCAACCTGCTAGTGCTGCTTGCAGTGGCTTTGGCAAATACTTTCATAATAACCATATGGAATAGTATCATGTAAGGAAGGTACACTCAAAAAGCGTTGGTAAGACGTTGACATGACGATCTGGCAACACATATACACACACACACACACACACACACACACACACACACACACACACACACACACACACACACACACACACACACACACACACACACACACAAACACACACACACACACACACACACACACACACACACACACACACACACACACACACACACACACACACACACACACACACACACACACACACACACACACACACACACACACACACACACACACACACACACACACACACACACACACACACACACACACACACACACACACGCAACACATGCCCGCACGCAATGCCCAGCCTGCTCCAAGTGGGAAGTGAGGTTCCGCCCGTCCTACGAGCATGTGCTTCGGACAAGCCCAGAAGCGTCGAGTGAAACATCTGAAGGCAACCAAGCGCACCTGCCCTTCACCATCCAAGTCGCTTTCTTCACGAACCTGGGGGGCCGGCGTTGCTGCTTCAAATCCATTTCGCAAGGAGTTGCTACCTATGAATCGCACAATGGAGCATGTCGGCAAGCACGTGAACAGGACCAAAACATGGACTCCGTCGTATGCGGGGCTTGCATCAAGCACATCACAGAAATGGCTGTGGCCCAAAAAGCCGGAAAGTTCCAACATGGGTTGCCCTGGAATCTGGAAAGTCAAAAAACATGGACTTTTCAAAACCTGCGGTTTGGTAACCCAGCCCCTCCGATCGGTTTCATGTTGGTCGCCACACGACAGAAATCTCTGATCGAAGGCGCCAGCACCACCAGATGCGGCGAGAGCCCTCCGAAGCGCAACAGCTTGCTGCGGCCCAGCTTCTGGAACTGGCGCGCGGCCCCGCGAGGCCGCGAGGCGATCAGAATGCAGAGAAACACACAGAGACGCACAGACCATGGGCCATTTTTTGAAAATTCTGATCAGGCTACAGTGCTGTTCTACGGCGCTTTCTACTGCGCCAGACGCACAAACCAAACCATGGGCCATATCTTGTTTTCTTTAATCTGATCAGGCTACAGTGAGCGGCTACAGTGCTTTTCTACGGCGCTTTCTCAGGTGAAAAGAAGGGCTGAGCCGCTGAGCCTGGTGTGCCATGCGGGCCAGATCGCGCAGCTGGTCGGTCTGTACTACGTTGATAAGCATGTAGACCAGTACCTCAAACTGCCAGTCACCCCGCCACAGTCTGCATGCAACTCAATGCTCATGAAATGGGCTGTCACAAGAAAGGCTGAAATCCCAAATGATGAGAGAACCATCAGTCTCAGAGCGCACTTGCGGCACAAGCACATTGCTGGCGAACAACCTGTGGGCGCGGATGGCCCAAGGAGTCAAGGCCGACCCAAATGTGACAAGTGCAAGCAATGCTTCTGTCCAAGGCAGTGCACCTCCATTGAGGAAGCTCTGCAACCTGTTTGAGACCCTGCGAATCGCAGAGGTTCAAATGGAAGTCGAGGCCAGTGGCCTGGTATGGCATATGGCCTATGTTTAGCATTCATGGCCAATCCTTGCACGTGCTACATTGCAGGTGCAAGTATATTCATCTACTCTGACTCACAAGACAGCCTATGCAAGACAGGCTAAACTCATGTGGCGGGTTGACAAAAACGAGGGCCCTTTTCTGGGACTCTTTTCGATCAAAGGCTTGGATCGAAGGCGGCGAAATGACACCGAGACTGGCCCCAAAAAGAGTTGCCTGATCTGGCAGGATTGCTGACCACAGGCCTGGCGCAACACGGCTGCTGCAACCTTTCAATGTTTCATGGGCATCAAAACGAAACCCACCACTTTGCGGGATCCCGCATAACAAACGTACAAAAAGATGGTTGCACAGGCACAGAAGTGGTTCGAGATCAATATCGGGGCCAAATCAAGCGCAAAACCATGACTCTCACAAACGTCTTGAAGTTGCTCGGACACCCACGAAAACCTGGCCTTTCGTGTGGGAGCTGCGTGAGTGTCCAACTGGAAACTCGAACTCCTGCCCAAATTGAGCACATCGAGTCGGGCCGCTGCTCCCAAAAAACCGACGCCCAACAAAAGGCTCCCTCAAGACCAAAAGCACGGGCGCTTCCAACCAAAAACCAAAAAGCCACAGCCATTTGGGCTGGGTCTCACCCCCCTCTCTTGGAGTAGTTTGAATGAGAGGCCAATCTGCTCCGTCTCCGCGTCCTCATTGGTGAGGTTTCGAGCCCAGAGGCCTAGCAGCGTGGATTTGCCCACCTCGCATGGTGGGTCAAAGTCACAAGCCCGGTTCGCCCCCAGTGAACATCAACCAATCCAACCACTAAAATAGAGTATCTAAAATGGGAGGTGGATTCACCTGCCCCAAAATGGCATCCCACAACGGTTTTGACCACCGCAGCCACATGGCTGCTCGCTTGGAGTGGGTACCTCGAACTCCGCCGACCCGTCCGCAAGGGAGCCTCGCGCCCTGCGTTTTTGGTAAGCTTCTCATGGCATCAGGCGTTTGACTACCTATTCTCGAGCGGTGGAGATGCGAAAATGTGGGGACGATATGACGATTTTTGTACGTAGGATATGGATGTCATGCAGGCACTTGTGATGCTGCGATGCACGTTGGTTTTAGAGTGGGATGATGCTTTTGAGATTTCATGGCAAAGGCCCAAATGCAAAAACGTTGGGATGCAACGATGTGCTTTTAATTTTAACGACTTGTATATTTCGGGCTTGGATGTCACGTTGGAACCTGGTTGCAGATTCTCGGATGTGTGGATTTGGACGCTGGTGTGATTTTGTGAATTTGCACGGGCAAAAAGCAGCGGCGTGCTTGCTGGGCTTGCAACACAATGTGTTGTCACTTTGTGTGGCAGCAAGCATTTTGCGATTGACGCTTATCGTGAAATCTCGTTTGAAATGTTTCGCATACTAAAGCAGCCTTGTATTCTCCTCGTCTCACTGCATGACTGGATCTGACAGGTATGATGCTGCCCTTTGTGGACATCATGTAGCGTCAGATTGCAAAGTAGCCTGATCAAGATTGTGTTGCGGATTTTTCATGCAACAAGACTCCCTTGCTCCACTTGCCAGCACAAATGTTGTCTGACTCAGGCTTTGCTGTAATTGTATGGTCATGACACCATGATCATTATTATCATGATAGTTTGGATTATCTCTTTCTTTTCTTACTTTCTTCAAAACACAAACTCAAGTGTACCCTTGGTGATGCGGGGGATGCTACAATGATAGTTATCATCAGAATCGCCATTATCATCATCATCATCATGGTCATATTCATCTTCACCTGGCTGATGACAAGCAGCAGGATGACGATGATGACAATCACGGCAGTGCCACGATGATGATGACCATGATGATTATGTTGCCAGGTAAACTATATTTCTTTTCTTATCCAATCATCGTCATCATGGTGATCATCATTGTCATCATCGTGGCTGTTGTCATCCCTTTCTTTTCTTGTTTTCTTGTATGTACATTTCACGTGTGCCTTTGGGCACCCTTGGTGATGCAGGGGACGCTACGATAGTTATCATCACAGTCAACATCATCATCATCATCATCATCATCAGCATCATCATCATCATCATCATTATCATCATCATCTACGGACATCAACATGGCATGGATGATGACAAGCACCATGATGGATGTGACCAGCATCTCCTGCATCCATTTCAAGTTGGCCCAGCATCGCGATCATTCTGTCTGAGAGACTGAAGGGTTTTTGGTAATTTTGATCGCACATTGCTTTTGCCAACCCTCGCTATCAGCAGGCCAGGGTGAGTCAGGCTGGTGCCTGGACGTGGCTTCAGTCCACGGGGTCTGGGGACAGGCAGGAGTTCGATTCTCCCTCTCTGGCGCTCATTTTTTTTTGTGTGTTGTTTCAAAACAAATCCATCCTCATTTTTGTTGGTGCCTTGTTGACTGATGAAACAGCACAGTTGGCAGATAGAACCAACCAAGCCATACAAACGTGAACGCGTTTTCACGCCTTCCAGCAAGTCGCAGGTAGGACAAATACCAAGGGATTGAAAACGGGGCCGCAGAACCGTCGACATGTTCTTTGTGCCTGTCTGGGCATGCAAATAGGGCACATTGTTATCCAACACCGTCCCAAACGACGCTGCAGGAACGTCAACGTCTCTACAGGGTCTGCTAGCAGCGAATGAACAGCACCCAACCCTTTAGGGAAATGCTTTTCACACAGAGACGACAGCCGTGCAAAGCCCTCCAAGAACTCCGCAGATCGAAAAAAGAAAAAAAAAAAAAACTTTCCGCAGGGCAGACTGCACGCGACCGTGGCAGGCAGTCCGGGGAGGAGTCGAGCCTGCGGCGGGGGGGGTAGCTGATGCTAGCTTTCGTGATCATCATCTTATTTGTCATCATCTCTTTCTTTTCTTTTATACTCTTCCTCATCATGGTGATCATCAGTATCGTCGTCATAGGTGTCATCATCTCTTTACTGAAAACATATTTCAACTTGAGCACCCTTGAAGACGCAGGGGATGCTACGATGATGGATATGCATCATTATCATCCTCATCATTTATGGTCATGCATCATGCATGATGATAACTATCATCGTAGCGTCCCCTGCATCCCCAGCGGCGTATGATAATTGATGCAAAGGGTGCTCAATCATCATAATATGCAGGACGACGATGATAGCTATCACTGTCCCCAGCGGCGCCTATGATACATGTCATCATCCGTGTCACGATGATTAGTATCATCATAGTTGTCATCATCTCTTTCTTTAAACAACAAATCGAGCGTGCCGTCACACACCCTTGGTGATGCAGGGGATGCATCATCGTAAAAGTTATCAACATTGTCACAAGACAAGTGTCTTGCATTCCCAGCGGTTCTAAAATGGTGTTCATCCGTGTCAAGTCACGATGATCACTATCATCACAGTTGTCATCATCTCTTTCCTTTAGGCACCCCTTGGTGATGCAGGGGATGCTACGATGATAGTTATCATCACAGCAATTGTCATGGGTGATAATGATGATGATGATGACAATGATAACTATCATCGTAGCCCTGAGACAGGCAGGCAGGGCAGGCAGGGCAGGCAGGGCAGGGCAGGCAGGCAGGGCAGGGCAGGCAGGGATTGCCAATATTGTGTGACATTCATTACTACCCATGACAAAGATTATCTCTTGAGCGTACATAAAGTGATTAGTATATCAATGTGATACAATATGTATCAAGTGGTATGTAATTATATTCTAGCTTCTGAAACCTAGCAATAAAGGATGTACATTGGACAGGCAGCAGGCAGGCAGGCAGGCAGGCAGGCAGGCAGGCAGGCAGGCAGGCAGGCAGGCAGGCAGGCAGGCAGGCAGGCAGGCAGGCAGGCAGGCAGGCAGGCAGGCAGGCAGGCAGGCAGGCAGGCAGGCAGGCAGGCAGGCAGGCAGGCAGGCAGGCAGGCAGGCAGGCAGGCAGGCAGGCAGGCAGGCAGGCAGGCAGGCAGGGCAGGCAGGCAGGCAGGCAGGCAGGCAGGGCAGGCAGGGCAGGCTAGGAAGACAAAAGGCCAGGTGGACAATGGCGCAAAATAGGAGAGGGGTCGTGCCCGGGCGCATCGAGAAGGATCTGCCAAACGGGCGACGTAGCACGAGAAGCGGCATCACAAATACAAGAACCGCATCTCCACATCATCCAGACCGGCAAAAACGTACCAAACCTAAACCCGAAAACAGCCCGAAGTGAGGCAGGGGCACTACCTCGGAGCACCGTTCGGAGTCGACAAAAAACACAGAAGAACATGTCCGGGAGACCTCAAGCACAAAAAATTGGCTGCGGCAATTCACTTTACGGGGGTTGTCCCCGGCGGGTTAGGAGCTATAGCCACCGGGGGCTATGTAAAAACCAAATGCATCACCAGCGCACCAACATCATCATCACCCTCCACCTCCTCCCCCTCGCTAGAACAGAGGAGGGCATAAGAGACAGTTTCAAGCCCTGCACACGCGTACGCGGATCAATCTCCGCGCAACCCCATGGTGACTCCTCGGGTCAATCCCCTCGGAGCGCGTGCTCAGGGCATGAAACCGTCTCTTCTGTTCTCCCCTCTTCTAGCAAATCCCTCCAGGCATCAACGCCAACCAAGGCAAGAGCAAGCGATGGGCCAACCTTAAATCTCCACACGCGAAAGAAAAAATGCAGGCGGCACTGGGCGGCAGCCCTTACATAAGGTTGCTGTAAAAGGAAACCATCCATAGGGGATCCAAAGGGGGAATGCCTGGCCCTTCCGAATACTAGAGGTTCCAGATCCTGTTTTGACACACACACACACACGGCACAATGTTCCCTGTCACGCCCACCCTTTGGTCCCGAGTGACTTTTGTTTTCTTCACCCAACGACGCAAAAAGCAACAGCATGACAGCATGACAGCAACAAAGCGGCAGTGAAGCCCTGCAAATTGCGACCTCGATTTGGGAAGGGCATTGACATGGCTGTGGGTCAAAACCAATGGTACCATTTTGGGGTAGGTGCACCACGCATTTTAGAACCTATTTTAGTGGGGATTGGTTGATGTTCACTGGGGGTACGGGATTTTGACCCATGGCCACATTTTCTCTGCATTGGGCCTCTGGCCACTTTGCGCCAAGCTTTATGCCCTCGCCCCTTCAGCCCCACACGCGGTCGTCGCCGGTGACGCACACGGTGCCCACGGGGCCGCGCAGCCGCCAGTCGCTTGGCTCCTCGAAGACCAGGCGGTCGTGGCGCCAGGCGACCAAAGGCTCGGGGCCCAGCCTGGAAGTCTCGGCCGCGTGCCGGAGATGGGGATCTGGCTGTGGGTCAAAAATAGGGTAACCCATGGTAACCCCAAAATGGGTTGCCCGGTAAGTGGAAACATGGACTAAAACCTACGGTCCACAGGTGGTTGAGTTTTGACCCATACCCAGGATGTCCTTTTTGGGGAAAATAGATGGCCCTGGTAGTTGGTTGAACCACCAGGTAAACCAGGGCCCTCTGTTTTTCAACCAAATCAACCAAAAAGGACACCTATGCCAACCATCCAACTGGTTCCTTTACGGGGATTTGCAGGTTCATTCCAACTCCCTCACTGAGCAGCAAGAAAAGTCCCAAGTCTGTGCCCCCTGCGTCGAAGTTGCTCCTCGGTGCCAACTCTGTGATTGCTTTTGGGCGGCCTGGGCTTATGGCCTGCGCAAGCTGCCAGCGTGAAAGCCAACATGGCGATGCTACCTCATCCTTCAAGCCGTGGTCTCATGTGTGACAGATTGCTTGAAAGCCAGTTATTGGTTGGATCGTTTCCGACTCAAACCAGTGCGCAAACAACGGAGCTATTTTTTTGTGGTTTCTGAATGCAGGATCCGACACTTTGTTTGGGAGTGTAATGCTTTGAAGGCGCGGTCAGATGTGCTAAAGGCAGAAGTTGCCTCACCTCTTCGCAACGTTTCCCTCAACCCCGCATCAAGCAGACCTCAAATCCCTCTTTGCAGGATGCAGTGCGGCTCGACACGTTTTGCTCAACTCTTTTGCTGACCTTCAAAAGTCTCTTTGCTGCCATGCTTTGACGTGCGTCAAAGGTGCACAGGGAACGTTAAAATATCCTTCCCATCATTTCCCGTCCCGTCTTTGGCTGGGTGCGCCAAAGCGAGCGTGCTCCCAAAGATGCCGCTCGCTTGGCCAAGCAAATTGATGTGCACAATCCAAACTGGGCTGCCCGATTTCTGATCCCCC